ATTATTGTTTATAATCCTCTCTATCCCTTGTGTAGCCATGAATTCTTCCCCTATCCATATCTGTAAGAGAAAGAGTATTTCCTTTGTCCCTCCTCTAAGTTGTTTATAATGTGACCTTTTATATTGATGTCATGTCCCCTTTTGGCACTTATTTTAGTATGTGGGGTGAAGTGCAAACAGAATTTCTGCCGGACTATTTTTTATAAGCAGATTTTGTCAAATAGTTATTTCACAGAGTGGTAGGGGTTCTTTGGGCTTATTGAGTACTGTACTCTACTAAATTTGTCTGCTTCTGTATGTTTTGTACCTAATGTGATGGATTCGTCGACTTCTTTAACCAAAACCAAATTGTTTTGATCATCACTACTGTGTAGTATCTTTTGAGATATGGTACTTCAAGGGCCCCTTTTTTCCCATTGTTTTTCTCTTGAGAAGATATTCTTGACCTTTTGTTCCTCCAGATGATGTTTGTTACTATTTTCCTAAGTTCGATAAAGTAATCCTTTGGTAGTTTTTTGAATGATGTGGCACTGAATAGGTAAATTAATATTGTCATTTTTGTTATATTGGCATGGTCTAAGCATGAGCAATTAATATTTAGGTCTGTCTATTTCTGTAGAATTTTGGTAGTTGTGTTCCTTTGTGTGTGCCTTGATAAGGAGACTCCCAAATATTTGACCCATTCTGTAAGTTATTTTGAATAAAATTTTTCTATCTCTTTTATGTTTTATTGGTAATTTACAGAGATGCTGATGATTTATGTGAGTTTATTTTGTATCTTGTAACTTTGTGGAAGTTATTAATTTTGAATTAAAAATTTTAGTTCACTCTTTAAGTTGTTGGTATAGTTGACAAAATTGAACTGAAACCTCTTAGCATATTTGATTGAAAAGAGTTCAGTTTTTTTGTTTTGGTTTTGGTTTTTTGTGAGGCAGTTGGGGTTAAGTGACTTGCCCAGAGTCACACAGCTACTAAGTGTTATGTGTCTGAGGCCCAATTTGAGCTCAGGGCCTCCTTACTCCAGGGTTGGTGCTCTATCCACTGCGCCACCTAGCTGTCCTGAGACTTCAGTTTTCTAAATGTAGTGGTTGAAAGTACTTCATTGTAATTTTGTACAACATCAAAATGGTTGTTGAGCCATGTATTATACAGTTTACCCATATATTATTTTTAAAATGCAACAGACTTTCTTAGAGAATGACACTATTTTTTTAATGTACTACCATGAGAAGATTTTTGTATGTTGTCAGTTTTTTTGTTACTAATCAGTTTATAGATTGTTATAAAATTCATCTGGTTATATAGGTTCAACTCCTTCACCAGTGTATTTTAACATATTGGCATCACAAATAGAATAAAACTTAAAGTCACCTAAATGTAGTTTAGATGAGAATTAAAACTTTGAAGTAAACATAAAGGAAAACTTTAAGTGGGAATTTTTTGACAGGGTTTTTAAAAAATTATTGAAATCATGGAAAATATAAGAAGTATCAGTCTCTTTGGAAGTCCATAACATAGTGTTTATTATCTCAAAATTCCTACAAGGCACATTCAACTGAGGATTATTCATTAGGAAGTAATAAATAATTTTGTTTGTTTCATTATCACCAGTGGTACTACTTTCTATTGTTTATTTGTAGCTTTAGTTACCACTTTTGAAATGAGTCCAAAATTAATACTTGCTTGGTCATATTAATCAAATATAGTTGGAAATGGAAAGGAAGTACGTGGTTGAGCACTTTTGCTGAGTTTATGTATTTGTGTAGCCTCTTAGAAGTTCATGTTTCCCAGATTAGTAAATGAATCAGAGCATATAGTTGAAGTGTTACATGGGTCCTTGGAGGTGGGTCATCTGACAGCCTCTCCTTGAAGGCCTTCATTGTCCTGAAAGCAAAACTAGTTCAGTTGCTCAATCTTTCATTTCCACTTTTTCATTTCCCTTTGTTTTGGAAAGCCAATAACTGGGGAAAACAATTTTCTCAGGGGTAGCACTCAACTTCCACATTTTTAAGACCCAAGATACTTTTTAAAGTAACAGTACATTAGTCTGCTATTTAGATAGTGAATGGCAGCATTTAGTCCTCCTTGGTAAGCTATTTTAAAAAAACAGCTTTCATGGTCTTTAGGCCATCTTAAAGGCTGCTTCCATATCTTATTCCTTTTAAATCATTCCTTATCTTGAAATTAGTAACTGATGAGACACACTTCTTAATCCTTAATGGAATATGTAGTGATACGTAAAGAACTAACTTTGGTTCTCAATAATAGGACATGATGCTTCTGGTTCTTTTGCTGACATTGCAAACAGCAGTCTTAGATCTATATATTTCCTTTTCTTAGTAGCAAAATCTATTAAGTCACTGGCACATCATTTACAGGCAATGTGTTGTGTTCCAAAAGTCTATTTGTAAGTTGGTTGTTTCAAATTCAAAATTCATTCCCCTACAAAAGCCTGTTTAACCCATAATTTAATTCAGCAAGCTTTTATTAGTGCCTACTATGTGCCAGGTGCTAGGCTGGAAAGGTAAAAGTCCTAAAGGGGCTAATTGTAGGGTGGAAGTGGGGGCAGGAGAGATAACATTAACATGGATAAGTAAATAGAAATTATATACAAAATAATTACAAAGTGATTGGGGGAATCAGGATTGGCCTCTTGTTAGGTCGTCACACTTGAGCCTTAGAGGAAGCTAAGGATTCTGCGAGATGGAAGTGAGGAGAGGGCATTCTAGGCATGGTGAATAATACAATACTATTGCATGTGCTATATTTCATAAATATTATGAATTAAGTGGATCTTTGTGGGTTAACTTGGTAACCTAACCTGGTCAACGTTTACGTTTTTACCTATTGTGTGATCCTAGCTGAGAAGACAGATGCGCTGTGAACATTTTTTCTACCCTACCACCACCACACCAAGATAGGAATATAGCAACACCAAAAATACTTGTTCTCTTTAGGGGGTCTATCTTCTGTCATGGTATGAGTCAGATATTTGACTATATTTAGGCCTTGTTCCTAAGTTTATGGTGTTACCTGTACCTTAAATAAAAAGATTCGTAAGGGGTCATTTAAGCTTTTTAAAGAAAGAGATTTAGTGGAATTTCCTTAACGTGAAAGGTCTTCTGTCTAGTGAAAAGTTTATACATTTTGGGCTTTTCTGTTAGAATTTAGTGTAATCACTTATGTATTTAAATTAAATGCTTTAATTGCAGAATTTTTGAATTAAAGGATGCTACAGAAGTCATCTAATTTAACATTTAATAGTTTTGAAATATAGTTTCTTATATTTATTATTAATGTATAATCTCTAATAAAAAAGTCATTTTGATCAATTTCATTCAGAAAATAATAGTTTCTCTTCTGAGTTTTCATTTCAATTATTTTTTTTTGGCTAGGAAGGAATTTTCTTCCTATCTTAGAAATTTGTCTTATTTTTTTCATGCATATGTGATTTGTTTTTTAAGTTTGCTTGTGACCTTTGATTCATTTAAGTGATCATGTTGATATTAGTATTATAATTAATGGAACAGTAGAATTTTGAATAGTAGCCTATAGAACATGAAAGGTAAACCAACTTTCTCCATATACTTGAAATTTTACATATGGAGAAGCGTTATCTCTCTCACACGGATTTTGGATAATGGACAGTGCCATGGCAGAAAATTGAACTGCTTCCATTTTAATTGTCTTGGGAAGATTCTGAAGATCACCTGCTAAGACAAGGTACCGGACACTGAGGTCCTTTCTTTAGCTGAACTGCCAGGCATCCAAGTCCCTTATGATTTCTCTTTCCTGTTTACCTCTTCATGCTTCTCTTGAGTCTTGTATTTGAAAGTCAGATTTTCTATTCAGCTCTGGTCTTTTCATCAAGAATGCTTGAATGTCCTCTTTTTCACTGAATGTCCAATTTTTCCCCTGAAGGATTAAACTCAGTTTTGCTGGGTAGGTGATTCTTGGCTGTAATCCTGTCTATCTCCTTTGCCCTCTGGAATATCATATTCCAAGCCCTGTGGTCCCTTAATGTAGAAGCTGCTAAATCCTGTGTTATACTGATTGTGTTTCCACAATACTTGAATTGTTTCTTTCTGGCTGCTGGCAATATTTTCTCCTTGACCTGGGAACTCTGGAATTTGGCTACAATATTCCTAGGAATTTTCCTTTGGGGATCTCTTTCAGGAGGTGATCTGTGGATTCTTTCGATTTCTATTTTACCCTCTAGTTTTAGAATATCAGGGCAGTTTTCCTTGATAATTTCTTGAAAGAAATTCAACAATATTCAACAAATATTGTTTTACAATTCTTGTTAAATGCAAGGCACATAGATGAGGAACTTGCAGCATGAAGAGGTGGTAACTAGTCTAGAACTAGTAAGTGACTAAGCCGAGACAGAAATGTAAGGGGGAAAAACCTGGCCTCAGAATTAAAAAGAAATTTAGCCACTTAGGGACAAGGAACAAATAGCAGTGTTAATATAACTGGAAATACTGTTCTATGTGGGATTTTGCATGTCAAATTCAAATGTTGCTTAGTATTATTAATTATTATGTGTAAGGAGTCTATGTGTATATATGGAAAGAAGAGACCAAATTTAAATATTATTACTAATTTTTGACTCATATTTTAGCATATATTTCCTTAAAATTTGATCACTCTTAAGCAGTGTTATATCATTATCACAATGTGCTGCATGTTCTAATAGCTGCTGTTTAAAAAAACATAAGACTGATTCCCTGCCCTTTTATGTGCTTATATTCTGAAGATTCATCTTTGTATAGCTGTTGCAATCTGCCACTTGTGTTTGCCACTGTTAATTTTATTATGATGGCATAAAATCTTTTGTAGCCTTGGGTAGTTAGTTAATTTTTACTTTAGTCAATATTAGCATTGTAAGAGATATCAAATTAAGGTGAATATCTGTTAAGAAATTTTCCAGTGGCCTTTTATTCGGTGTGTTTTCTTTTGGAAAAGAAATAAAGTGGTATTTGGGGCTTTCGTTGCAGAATCTCACATGGAAAATTTGAAATGCAGAGGAGAAACAGCTACCAAGCAGATTACTGAAGTAATGAAGGTAAAAGCCATATGTTGCTTTTAAATGGAAGATATGCGACTTGGTGGTCTCTTTGAAAATTCATGACACATATTTTTAGAGTCTGTTTTTGTAGAAATTCTCAGGAGTTTTTTTTTTACTTGATTTTTCTGCATTTGTGTAAGAGGGAAGGATGGGGAAAGGAAGGGAATAAACATTTATATAGTACTGGTTATATGCCAGGCTCTGCGCTAAGCATTTTACAAATATTTCATTTGTAGGAGCTATTATTATCCCTGTTTTACAGTTGAAGAAACTGAGGCAGAGTTTGAGTGACTTGCCCAGTGTCACACAGCTAGTAAGTGTCTGAGGCCAGATTTAAACTCAGGTCTTCTTGATTCCAGGCCCAGGCCAGTGCTCCATCCATTATACCACCAGCTGACACTAACACGCAGTTAAGGTTTGACTCCATAGTCAGTGGTTGTTCTGAAGTGTGTTGGTTTTTTATTGATTTTTCACAATACTATCATAGCTTGTATTATTGAATTACTTCATCCAAAATAAAAAGCAAATACTCCCTAGAACCTAAAGTATATAAAATGAATTGAAAAGTTCTTTATATAATATTTTATTAGAAATTTGACTATTCAGTATTTCTCCTGGTTAAGTATTAACTGTTGCTTCAGTTGTGGCAGCTTCAGAGGTTAGCTTAAATCTTTTAATCTCTGATGTGATTTAAACTGATTGCCTAAAAAACCATAACTTCCTTTTGGTACTTGCATGCAGTGGATTAAATCTCTTAGCTATCTAGCTAACTTGAGGTTGTTATCTGAAACACCTTGGTTCTGAAATTTTTTACCTGCCTGTATTGTTAAAGAACTGATGCCCATCTTTCTAGTGGAAAGTTGTAAAATGTATCTTAGCAGTAAACTAAGTTCTTCAATATTGGCATTACCTTTGCTTTTTTTTTCTTTCAGTGATTTCTTTCATGATTATGTTCCCAGGTCCAAAAAAATACAGTGTTACAGATTACTATAGTACTTTCCCCAAGCTGATTTTTTTATAAGCTTATTTTCAAGTATTCATTTATCAAGGTTTTATAGCTTTTTACTGCAGTTTCTCAGCTAGCATTGATGGAGTCTCTTGGTAAATTGAAGAAAATACCCTACCTAATCATATTTTTCCTAGAATGGCTGTAGCCTGATAGGTGTGGAATCTAGGGTGTTGTGTTTTTCTTTCACTGAGAATTAACTTGAAGTATCATTATTTTGTTTTTTTAAGTCCTTGCCAGTGTTGATTGAGCAAGCAGATGGGTTCTCCAAAGTTCTAACGATGCAGCCCATTCTACAACTTCAGAGGCTCCACCAAGAAGTTTTCTCTGGCAGCCACACGAAAGAAGCTGTAAAACCTGAGAGTTTTATAACACAAGTAGAAACCAGCCCAACAGAGACTAATGCCAGGAAAACCACTAACATAGTACTGAAGAGAAAAAGACCAAAAAACTCTCCACAGAGAAAGCAGTATCCATTGCTGCAAATGAGAATTGATTCATGAGATGCTCCTGTTTGTTTGGAAGTGGTAAACGGGCTTTATCTGCAGCATTAAGCCTAGCTGGAACTTTATAGGAAATAAATTGATTTCTTCATCCAGTTGTGCTTTAAGCAAATATGATAGCTGTATAACCAACCAATAAACATGATATAATGTATATATTTCTTAATTCACCATTTCATCTGCAACAAGATGAAAATTTTGTTTTGTTTGAGTTGGAGTATGATGGCCATCAGTAAGCAGTGATGTTGCAAATGTTCTGTATTCTCAGGTACCATCTTTTTTTGTTGTCATGGTTATTTTCATGGAATTTCATGGTTGAAGTAAACTGTTACACTTCCATGAATTATATCTTTTTATAAAGATAGCTTAACAACAATTGACTTGTTTAACCTACTGAAAAGGAATCATCAGTTATGAGCAACAGATGTAATTTTGATGTTACAAATTAATGCCTAGGTGGGGAAATGGTATTAATAGTGTTACTCCTATTCCACTTAATTTGGCTTTTTTGGACTTAATGGATTGGTATTTTTGTGTAAAACTTTCAAAGGTTACTTATATTTATTCAGACCGTATTCTTGTAAATAAAAGAAGACTCCAGTGTTTTCCTGTGCTACGTGTATATTTTTATATTTTATAAAGCTTTTAATCTTCAAATAGCATTTGACTGTGGACTGTTATCAAATTTTATAGTTCTGTTTAATTCTAGGTGAGGTATTCATGTCAGATTAATATTAATAATAATTAATTAATAATAAATAATTAAGAAATTAATAGAAATAATTTTGAAGTATTGTAGAGAAAATGCATATATAATCATACTGAACTATTTTATATCTAAGGATAATATAATAAATATATAATCATTGTTAGATTGACCACCAAGAGAATGAGCAATCCTTTATCTTCCACAATTTTCTCAAGTCAGAGCTTTTAACTAACATTTCCTTATTGTAGCTTTTAGTCACAGTATACAGAGAATCATACAATTTGCCAAATATTCTTCTCTTTTGATACTGATAATATCCATTTTGAAAGGATTTTGCTAATCGTGTGATTGGAAAATTGACATCTATTGATAATCATATTTAGTGTCTTAATCATAAATATCTGATTTTTACAGAATCAGATTTCCCAAGTGAAGATAATTGTAAAGATATTTTAGTATTTTGTGTATATTTGTACCACATTTGTAATCTGTACATGTGTAAATAGAAATGTAGTTTATATTAAAATAATACACAGAGAATGAAGTCATGCTGCCTTGAGTATTTGTCAGTTTAGGAGCTACCACATAAGCATTTTTGAGTACTGGTTTTGTTGTACTTCCTGAGTCTATTATCTTCATTCACTGGTTCCTCACAACACTCATCTTTTACTTAGAGACATCTATAAAAATTTGCTTTTAGTCTATGGAATGTGCAGTATTTCAGCTCTAAGTAATTTTGTTTCTTTTCTATAGCTTCAAAATATTTGTACGCTAAAAATTCACTTAATATGATAAAATCTTCCGTTTCTCAATTAGAAACAAGATTTAAAATAGAAGTACATATAAAAGAAGTGACATATAACAGAAGTGCATATAAAAGAAGTGACATTTTGACTTAACCTCCTACAAGTACAAATGACTGATATCAGATGCTCTTGAGCCCTTTAGGAAAAACCTGTATACAAGAAATGTAAAGAGAACCTAAGAGAGGTTATTGCATCAACCTGCTAAGGAGGGAATACTGTGGGACTGTATAACGGAATTAAATTTCTGGCCATAACTAAGGAAATGAGAGGTAAGAGTCTTCACCATTTGAATAGGTAGAAAGTATTTTTTTTAAAAAAGGGTAGAAAATCATCTGTCCTGGATAATTTAGATGTTTACTACCTGAGTGCTAATTGTTAATATCTGTTTTCCAGCCCTAGAAGTTTATAAAAATTGAGTGACTGTCTCCAAGGAGAGAAAACTGAAGCAAAAACTGGTATCCATAGGCTAGACCTTGTAGAAATTATACCCCTAGAGTGGTTAAGCTCAAGGATAAATTAGAATTCCTTTGAGAGGGATAGAGGCCATTGTCAATCTAGAGTAGTTAACAAATAGATAAATGTTAAAAGGATCTAGAATTCAGTAGTTGTGGAGGTTAAGAACTGTTCTGATGACCTACATGGATCAAACCACATTTGTTTTCCTGCTATATACAGCACTACATGTTAAATAAGTGCAGAGTAAGTTTTTGCTAGAGTAGGATGTAAAAAGGCAGGAGAAATCCCTTTCTACTTTCCAGCAGAGTATCAGCAAAGTGTTTCCCAAAAGGATGATAGAAAAGGCTCAGTAATAAAGAAGACAATGACTTATGGGAGAGAAGAGAATCCAAACCAGATGGCAAATAAATAAATAAGATGATAAAGGTAAAAGAACTGTGTAACAGGTATAAAGTCCTCAGGCCTAGAGGGTAAGTCTTAACTTGAGGAGAAATCAACTTATACGCTGCAGAAAAATAAAGAGAATTCCACCAACAGTCAACGAGCATTCATTAAGTGCTTACTATGTGCCAAGTACTATATTAAGTATTGGAGATAGCCCTCTGCCCTCAAAGAGTTCACATTCTGATAGGGGAGACCATGCGAGAAATGGTACGTATGAGTTATGCATATATTCAGCATAAATCGAATGTAATCTCAATGAAGGAACTAGCAGTGCCTGGAGAGACTCCAGAAGGTAGGGTATAAGGTGAGCCTTGAAAGAAGCATGAAGGTGAGGAGAGAAAGCATCTTAAAGATGGGGGACAGTAATAAGGCGAGGAACTGAGGGATGAGAGTGTGGCATGAGAAGAACTGGCAAGAAGACCAATATTGCTGGATCATTGGGAAGTGTGTCTTCCTACCAATACCCCGGTCTCTCCCCTTGAGCATCAGTCTCTCCATAACTCATTGCTTATTGGACATTTCAGATTGGATGACCCAGAGACGTGTCAAGCTCAAATCCAAAGTTGAACAAGATAGATGGATAGATAGATATTTGGGAATCATTTGCAGAAATGTTAGTTAAATCCATGAAATCTTACCAAGAATGTAGGGAAAAGAGGTTAGAACCTTGAGAGACACTTACACACATGATGTGTGATGAGCTATCAAAGGCAGTAAAGGAGATAATGGGTGAACCAAGAGAGTAATGGCCCAAAAACCCAGAGAAGAGAGTATGCAGGAGAGGGTGGTTACCAGTTTCAAAGGTAGCAGAGAGGTCAAGAAGGATTAGGGCTGAAAAGAAATCCAGTAAATTTGGCAACGAAGAGATCATTGATACTTTGGAAAGAACAGTTTCCATTGAGTGATGAAGTTGTAAGCTGGAGTATAAAAGGCTGAGGAGTGACTTATAGCAGAGGAAATGGAGGCAGTAAGGATGGAAAGTTTTTTCTAGGGGTTGGCTGAGAGAGGGAGGAGAGATATAAGATGACAATGTGAGGCAATGTTGTGGTCTAGTGAAGGTCTTTAAGGATAAGAGGGTACCTGGATATGTTTGAAGGCAGTAGGGAAGGAACCAGCTGATCGGGAGAGACTAAAGATTTGAGGGATACATTGGAGTTTCTAATCTGCTGGAGAAGATGAGAGAGTCTGGATTCAAGTGCAAGAAGGACCACCTCTTTGTCAGACTGGTGTAAAATAGGAGAGATGATATCAAGGGATTTTTAGAGGAAGAGAAGAAATAAGAACAAGTTCATGCCAAATTGCTTAAATTAGGTACAATTAATATGAAGACTTCAGAGAATCATGGGAAGAATTGTATGAACTGATACAAAGTAGGGGGGAAAAGCAACTAAAAGAATATGCCCAATGCTTTGCTGAGTCATTTTTCAGTCGTGTCTGACTCTTCATGAAACCATCTGGGGTTTTCTTGGCAAAGATATTGGAGTGGTTTGCCATTTCCTTCTCCAGCCCATTTTGCAGGTAAGGAAACTGGGCCAACAAGGTTAAGTGATTTGCCCAGAGCCACATGACTAATTAGTGTTTGAGGCCACATTTGAACTCATGAAGATGATTCTTCCTCACTCTAGGCTTGGCACTCTATTTACTATACCAGTTATAAATGAAAGTACCATGAAATAAAAGATAACAACTCAGATCAAACTTATATAACCAATGCTGGTTACAGATGACTGATTTTAATTGCATGTTACTTTCCTTTATGTTAAGAAATTAATGGAATATTACAGAGCAGAATGTTACACATACTATCTAGATGGTTTTGCTTAACTTTTTTTAATGGCAAAATCGGGGGGGTGGGAGGAGAGGGAAGTTTGTTCTAACAAAACAATGTATTAATTTTTTTATGCTGGAGAAATGGTAACAAAAGTGTTCAGTAGTTCACAGTGAGACAATGATAAAAAAGGAGGTCTAGAAATAGTAATCGTGGACTCAAATGTCTACACCAGTTCAGAAGTTTGGGTAATAAAGTGAGCCAGATGATCTTAAAATGAGGGTTTTTATAGGTATTATTAGGATTTAGTAGGATGGCTAAGTATGGTGATGCATGCCTGTCATCCCAGCTACTGAGGAGGCTGAGGGTGGTGGCTTTCTTGAACTCTGGAATTCTGTGCTGCAACGGGTTATGCCAATTTGCTGTTCATATTAAGCTCAGTATCGGCATACTGACACCTCCCCCACCCCACACCCGGACCAGGTGCCACCAGCTTGCTTAAGGAGGATTGAACCTGCCAAGCTGGAAATGGAACAAGGCAAAATCTGTAGGATGATCAGTAGAAGTATAGGCCCGAGAATAGCCGCTGCACTTCTAGCCTGGACAAGGTGGGGAGACCTAGTCTTTTAAAAAAAATGTATATAGATGAAAATATGTTTTGCATTATTTCACGTGTATAATTGATATCACATTTACCTTCTCAATGGGTAGGGAAGGGGCAGAATGGGAAAGAATTTGGAACTCAAAATTTAAAAAAAAAAGAATGTTAAAAATAAATTTATTTTAAAAATGTTTTATAGAGTGGTACTTATGGAAGGATATATTCTAATCTGAATGATTATGACTAATTAAATGGTTAATGAATTGTAAATAACAGGAACCTTGGGAAGCAGTGACTATACCAAACAGGGTTTGTGATGGACATAGAAAGGAATACTGTGCATAATTTAATGTGTATCCTAGAGTCTACTAACTTGTATTCAAAGAGCTTATAGAAGTCATGGCACGAAATTGTAAGTCAGCTCAAGAATAGAAGAGTCCCAGACAGGGCAAAAATTGTTAACAGGGAATTGAAACAGAACATAAATGAGGAGGAATCACTTGAGTAGGAGTAACTCCATGCCAGGGTACTTAAAGAACTTGCAAATATGATTGTTGAACTGCTGTTAGTAATCTCTGAAGAATCAGTTAAGAAGAGAAGTGGGTCTGGATATAGGCAAACATTGTCTTAGATTTCAAAGAGGGGGAAAGGTGAAAATGTACAGTAATAGGCTAGACCTCTGGTGAAGATGACTGAACAGTAAAAATAAATGAATATAATAAATTTATTTTAAATAATTTAGACCATTTTTATAAATCATTTAAATAAATGTATTAAATTTGAAGCCAAGGAAGTCAGATCCTCCAGAAATCCCTTTATTG